TATGTATTAAAACATTAAATTAGTTAAATACTTATAAAGGAAATAAAAATCATTCTATTAACTAAATTTCAAGACATTACTAGTTATTTAGTATCTTTATTCTCCTCCCGAATGTCTATATTCCTTTATATTGGTATTTGATCTTTTATTTTTTTATGTTGTTAACAGCAAAAAAAAAATACAAAGCCACAAGCAAAATACTATATATAAAAATTATTAAACTTTATTTACAGTTTAGAAATGGAAAGTTGTCAGGCAAAAAAAAAATACTACAGTTTACTAGATATGTCCTTAAGTGCATACAACTTTAAAACTTAAAAAAAAATTAAGTTATGTGCAAGCAAGCTTGCAACATGTTTGCTCATTCAACAAGAGAACATGTTGAAAACTTGTATGCATTTCACAAAGACAAGATTTGTTGGTAAAAATGACACTCGTGCTCATCTGTCTTTTGACAGGTTTTGAATATTTTGCATCAGCTACAAGTTTACAACATGTACCACCAACAGGGGTGACTATGAACAGCGGGTTGAAAATTAACATCAGTATCAAGTTGCTAAAAGGTGAAGAAACACACACACAATAGAGCTATATAATGTTTTACTTTGATTCAGTTTGCAATTTGCATTGCAAAACTGAGCCGGTAAAACATCTTCAAAGAAAAAAAAAAACTTGGTGGCGAAGAAACTGTATGGTTTTTAACAAATTTACTTTATATATATTTAGAAACAAAGTTTAGGCAAAAATCCATTTTTTGCCAGTTGATCAGGCCGATAACTTTTCCAGGAAGCTGGACAGTATAATGTTCTGATAAAAAAAAATGTAGTGATTAGGCTAGCAGTTTTCTTCTATGATACAAAAATGTTTAAAAGTGTTCATAGTCATCCTGATTGATAATAACTTATAAGGTTGCAACATCATGTTGCAAACTTGTTGATTACACGAAGTAAACTTGTGCAAAGTAGTTTTTGAAATGATATGTTGAACATGTTAGTAAAAAAAACTAGTTGGCAACATTTATATTGTCTTACCAACTTTGAATAACTCAATTGTCATGATTTTTACACTGATTTTATTTTAGTCAAAAATATTCTGAACATGTTTTTAATTTAGAGCAATTAATTAACATCATTTATAGTTGATGGATCCCCTTTTTGCACTATAGGTAAAATGTGCTAGTAGACTAGTAGCAAAACATTTGGCTCACAACCAGAAGGTTGGGGTTCAAATTACCTCTGCTGAAATTCCTGTCTCAATCTATTTCTCCACACAGCGCCTTTGTTTAAAAATTTTAGTTGTTAATGTTGTTTGTTAGTAAAAATGGTAATGTTAAAGTATGAGACAAAATATTTTTAAAAAATGAGTTGCTCCCTTGACTAAAATGGTCATTGGAGCAATAGGGAGGTGAATTTATGAAACTAAAAAAAAAATATTGTACTCATACAAATTATAAAAATTTGGTATTTTGATCGATTTTTAAAAAAAACCCATAAAACCCAAAAAAACCCAATAAAACCCAAAAAAACCCATTTGGGTTAGGTTTTTTTAAAAAACCCTGTGTTTTTTCCAACCCTGATTTAGTTACGTTTTTTTTGCAGACAGAGCTTTTTTTATATATTTTTTTTTGTTATTATCTATTAAAAAATTGATTTCCAGCTAATATATGTGGTGTTTTTTTTCCTTTTTAAATCCAACTCCTTTTTTTTAGATTAAACAGATGTGTTTTTTTAATATAGACATACTATTGAAAACTATTGAAAATTGTTGTTTTGTTAATTTGTTAATAAAAGTGTAAATAAAAATATCTTTAATATTACAAAGCTATTAGGCATTTTTTTGAAACCACAATCCGTAATAATTTGTACTTTATCTATGTAAATAAAAGTCTATGCAAACATCTAACACAGGGTGTGTCTGGTAGATCAGGAAAATCAGAAATCTGCAAAAAAATCAGGGAATAATCAGAGAAATTAAATTAAATTTTGGAAAATCAGGAAGAAATCAGGGAAAATGACTCTATTACACCTGCGTAATTTAAGTATGTTTTATATTGTGTACATAATATAAAATTTTATTCAGCAAATAGTTTTATAAACAAATCCTTATACTTCAAAGGCGAGTAGTATAATTGTTTACATTTTTGCTAGTAAAGAGGCTTTTTCCAAAAGAATCCAAGTCTCCTTTTTCTGAAGTTTAGTTTTAGTACCTTTAAATTAAATCAGGGAAAACAAGTAGTGGATCAGGGAAATATCAGGGAAATCCATCTTAAAATATTGGCAGACACCCTGTAATATGTAAACTTCAAGTTATGTAAATTATTACAGATTTTCTTACACTTCAAAATTTTATTGCTGCAATGTCTCCTTAATTTTGATTTATACCACTTATATGATGTTTTATAAAGTTTAATAAATAAATAAGTCTTTTGTTTATTAAAAAGTGTTAAAAGATGGTATTATAGAATGCCAAAGTGCTTTGCGTGGATTCAAACCCTTTTGTTTATTATTATTTTTTAAATCTTTTCCAACTTTCTAGAATACAAAGAAAAAACATTTTTAAAGGCCCACAGATATTATATGCATAACATATATAAAAATATTATATACTATAATAAACAGGAGAGAATTTGTTAAAAAGCTTTTACATGCAAACTTTAATTATCTTTATTAAATTTATCTTATTTAAATTAACAAGAGTCCTAATAAGCTGCAGATCTGAAAAAAAATTAATAGGAACCTAATTAAAAAAAAAAATCTCCTGTTCTCGTTTTTATTTTTTTTTTTACAGAAATTTACAGAAATTATAAAGTATTGGAGATTAATCGTTAACTCAAAACAAAGATTTCTATATTTTTCTCTTTTTTAAAAATTATTGAAATAAAGCAAAATTATTAAAATGGTTGGTGTGGAATGACTTACCATGACCATTATTATACGAGTCATGGTAAGTCCGTTGTTTCAAATATTTAAGTCATCTTATGTTTTTTGAAACTTTTTATATATATGGTAAATAATTAACACATTTCAAGCAGGTATTCTAAATATTAATTAAACTGGTACTAATAATCTTTTGATAAATAGCAACGTATACTAAAACGTTTAAAGTTTTTTAAAGTTATTTATAATAGAAAATTTTTCTTATTAAAATTTTCTTATTAAAAAGTAAACAATAAGTATAGTTTTTCTATTTTTATATAACTATTTTTCTACCTCTTACTAAAAAATATTGAAATAAGGATTTAGTATAGAAAAGGTGGAATAGATTCCCAAGACCCTTATTTTATGGGTCATGACAAGTTATTAAAATAATTTGTGTACTTATTTTATTTTTGTTTCTTAATGCCAGTTTACATTTTCAGCAACGAAATTGGATAAGGCAAAGCAAAAAAAAACTTCAAGTTTTAAGTTGACATTAAAAAGAATAATTTAGCTATATTTTATTTGTTTATTTTAAGAGGATATAAATATAAAAAAATTAAAAAATATAAATTGTTTTCTGTAAAATATATTTGTATAATTTTAATGCAACAAGTATATATTGTACCTATATGAAAAGGTCTATGTAATGCATGCGTATATGTTTATGTATAACTCTTTTTGTTATATAATTATATTTATTTTTTAATTAGTATATGCATTTTAAGCTTGTTTGAATAACAACTTTACTTCATACACGGTATGTCTGTGGTTCAAAGCCCATCACAATCCATTTTTTTACCGCTTGTTATATATTTGCTTGTAACCATTTATCTTTTCTTTTTTTGAATATAAAAAATCTTTCTATTGTATGTTTTTGAATGGCACATATCTCCTCACATACAGATTTCTTATACCATTTAAAGCCTCAACTATACCAGCCATCTACAAATTTTTCACACAACCTTAATTGCTTCATCAAACCTTTCTATTCCTGTACATTTTTTATCCACAAACTTTGAGCGCTTTTTAGTTTTGGATACCTGTTGCTTTTTAACATTTGCCTCTGTGCGCTTAGTTTCACTTGCCCTTTACTTTTTGTCTACTATGTTATTAGTAAAATATATGTAAACAATTATTAACAATAATTATTAATAATTGTTTAGGTAAATTTCACCAAAATCATAGTAAACCAAAAGCGAGGAGGCGGGTAAAAAAACATAAAAATGTAGGAAGTGATAGAATTCAAACCACGAACATTCTGAATATTAAATTAATGCTTTATCTAAATAAGCTAAACGTTTGTATACTAATAATAGCAAATAATTATAATTGTATAATAAAAAAAGTTACACATAAACATATATGTATGCATTACATAGACATATTTATATAGGTACAATATATACTTGTTACAGTTCAATTATACAATCAGGGGCTATTTTAGGAAAAAAAATAGTGCGGCAGTACCTTTCAGATCAGGAGGAAATATTGCTGAATATTGGCGTTTTTTCGTCAAAAAAACAATATTTGCCGTATAAAACATAAAAAAAAAAAAAAAGGTCCTCATTTTTTAATTTGGGTAATGCCCAAACTGGCAACCCAAATATGGTCAAAGCTGTCAAAATTGGTCTAGAATAGCCCCTGACAATTACATTTTACAAACAGATAACAATTTATATTTTCTTTTTCCTCTGGAAAAGAAGAAGAGTGTTGATCTTCAAGAAATACTTTAATACTGCGGTTAAAAAAAAATGATTTAAAAATCTCAAAAATTCAAGTCAGGTGAAGAACAACAAGATCTAAATACTATTTTGGTCGTCAAAAAGTAAGTTATTTAAATAAGATGTGACTCTTTCTATTATTAACAAAGACCTTGCTAATAATAGAGAGAAGACTGATTGGACAATAATTGAAATGGTCAGAATGATTTTATATATATATATATATATATATATATATATATATATATATATATATATATATATATATATATATATATATATATATAAATTTATTAGAGCTAATTAGTAGAGTAGTAGAATTAAACTTACTTCATACCTGCAAATAAAACCTACATCATACCTGCAAATAAGCTTGAGTCCTGAAGCACATTTAGATCATTCAAATGATTCTCTAAACAATTGAGCTCATAAAATACATCTTCCATAGTAATATCAGAAATTATTTGATCACAAGTATCTTCTATAAAACACATAAAAAAAAAATGTAATGTATAAAAATCAAATAAATTTAAAAGTTTTACATTTAGTAAAATTTATCAAGTAACAGGCTTTTACAGGAAGGTGTGCAATTTCACGTCTTTATATGACCAGGCAAATTACATTTTGCTATGAGGATTTGACCGTGGCTAATTCAAAAAATATTTAAAAAACGCGCTAAATAAAAAATATTCTGCAAAAGTGTAATTATTTACATCAAAACTTCTTAACAAATGTTTTCACATTAGCAAAACACTTTTAAATAAAGTAACAATTTACTGATGTTTTTTGTTTTTTTAAAATATAATTCACAGTTGTATATATTTTTTTAATTTATAATATATAAATTGTTAAAGTGTGGATTTCTATAATAAACTTTATTAAAAATCAAAAAATTGTTTTGTTTTTATAAACGATGACATTCTACGACTGCAAAAGTCTCTTTAACGAATTTTGATATAAGAATAATTAAAGTTAATACATTTAAAAAGATAAACAAAATTTCGTTGAAAAAAAAAGTTTTAAAAAGCCGTTACAATTAAATAAGTTTAATCTTTTATATTATCAAAGTTTTTAAATTTTCGCTTTTCAAATGAAGTATCAAAACAATTCTAATTAATTTTTAAAATAAGTATTAATAAAGTGTTGTCTTTTTTATTTATAAAATTATGTATTTTTTATGAGAAATGTTTGAAATATATTTAAAAAAAAAGTACAAATGCTAAAACAAAAATTGAAATGGTTTTTTAATGCATAAATTAAATAGACTTTTTTTTTTCCAAACATTTTAGTTTAATGAGTTTTGTTGTAGTTGGGTTGTACATAAATTTATTTTTTTATGTTTTTGTTTTTACTAAGTATTTTTTTTATTTTCTCTTTCATTAGGATTTTTTTTGCTTTTTACAATTTTTTTAGATAAGTTTAGGTTAGTTTTTGTAGCACATTTTTAAATTTTAAAAAGCTGTGGTCAAATTATTAAAACATATTATTTTTTGCGTGGTCATATAAAGACATGAAATCGCACGCCTTCCTGGTAAAGCCTGAGTAGAAAATATTAAATTTAAAAAAATATTTACCTATTGAGAAACTCAAATTATTCAAAATTTGTTTAGACATTTTAATACTTAGGTTTTTAACATGATCAGAGCAAAAGTCATAAGATAACAATGAAGGGGAGTTTGGGTTAGAAGTTGGCAAACTGCAGATTCCTAATGTTAAAATATCAAATTAACCTAATTGATATAATAGTAAAAAAAAAGAAACTTTGTAAAAACTTTTAATCTTTAAAATTACATCTCACCTGAAGAGGAATGAGGAACAACTTGTAGAGCTGGTTCATTAAACGACATTGAATAAAAATTACTGTTTGCAGCATGTTGCGACAAACTATCAACCATTGCGTTGTCACCTGTCAATGTGGTACATGTGTCATGTGTAACTAGAAGTTCTTTGATATCTTTTAAATATTTTATGATAAATTTTATGATAAATTTTAGATCTTAAAGCAACTGGAAATATTTAAATAAAAAAAATAAAGAAATAAAATAAAAAAATATTATTTACTTTTTTTGGTGAAAATTTTTTTAAATGAAACTTTTTGGTACTTTTCAAATGGCAGCAAAAGTCTAAAAATATATTAAAAAAAAAACTTATTGTAAACTTGCAAATTAAAAAAAGTAAACAAAATCAAATTTTTGAAGAAAAAAGTAGTGAAAGAATATATAGAGAAAAAAACATTTTTTTTTGCTATCACTTAAAATCAGTTTTTAAAAAAAAAACAAAACACAATGTCATTAAAAAAAAATTAATTGCATAATATACTGAAATGCTTTTTAAAAGGCACGGTTGTTGCAAAAAAAAAAATTAGAACTAAAAAAGAACGCTGATTTAAATGAGTAGCTTGCACAGCTCCCCTTGTTTGTTTTAGGAGAGCTTTTCTCTGCTCTTGTACACATTTATTCCCGCCAAGGCCTATATATATATATATATATATATATATATATATATATATATATATATATATATATATATATATATATATATATATATATATATATATATTTATTGAAAAACTCTTTTTATGTTAATTTAATGACTTTTATAGTGTTTCATTAAACAAATTGTTTAATGTTTTAAAACTATTTAATTTTAAAGTATTAAATATTCATTTAAATAGTATCTGCAAACAAGAGTTAGTAACATTATTATTAACCTAATTAACATCAGCAGATATTTGCGATATTAGTATAAGTTAGATGTTAGCATACCCTTTTGTTGACTTTTCTTATATGAAAAAGTGCTGCTACTTTTTCTCGCTATTACCTCGATTAAAATGGCTGCCAAGAGTATTCTGTCAAACACGAATAATCCTATTATATTATAATAAGATTATTCGAAGAAATTTATTTCATTATTATTCTAAACTATTATACGTAATTAAGAACATTATCTCAATTGTACCTTTTTTTTGCAATGAAATGAAATATTTTAAAATTGATTAAAAAAAAATTAAAATTAATAATTGCATGTTAGTGCTTTTAAAAAAAAGTATTGATTTTATTTAAAATTGTTATCAATAAAATAATTCTATTCCTTACCCTTCAAGCATTAACTTATTTTTGTATTTATTTAAATGAGTAGCTTTGTCAAGAAGAATTATTACTAAGATTTAAACAAAAAAAAAAAAGGAAAATATTGACAGTCTAAAAAAAAATTGACGTCAATTCATTGAGTTGGCCGGTTGAATTGACCACTTGGCTTCAATTGCTTATTTTCCACAATGTAGTTTAACATAAACTAACACAACTGTAACAGAAACCTTTATTTTAAAACTCTCTCCCAATAAGACTACAAGCAACCACTATTAATTTTTTATTTAACAAAATAGCAAAAAATTAAAGTGTTAAAAAGCAAGGTTGACAAAAGAGTCAAGAATGAGTTTTAGTATATAAGACCAAAGACAACAATGTGTTTGAGGAGAAACCATGATTATTTGTAGCATTTTGTGAAAAGAGAAATATTTGTGTATGATACATGAGTATTTGTGTGAAAAGAAAAAGAGATGCAACCTCGTGACAATGGGATAGTGGTTGCAACCTCGTGACAATGGAAAATAGAGCAGGTCCAACTACATTTGCAAAGCAGTTTTAGACCTTGTCTAGATGAAAAAACCAGCCTAAAAATGATATTAGTATTCAATAGAGGGACTAAAAAGAGATTTATAGAGGTAGAGAATGGAATCAGGAGTAAGAAAGTGGCAAGCACAATAAAGAGAAGCAACTTTTCTAATCGATTGCAAACTTTACAATGGTTTTCATGAAGGGTTAATAGCAAAAAGTGAAATAGAGAAACAGTAAGGTTGCGCATCAATCTTGGAATGTCGACAATATGGTGATAGTTGTTTGGAGTAGCAATTATTGCAATGTTGTTGACAGCCTAACAGTGAACATTTTTTTTTTGTAAATTTATTTGCTTTTAATAAAAAAAATTACAATTACAGAATAGTTTTATTACAAATATAATCGGCATGACTTCCAGAAGATCATAGGATCTTATCATGAAGCCCTTTACAATATCAAATATAATAATGATAACAATAAAATCAAATTAACCAATAAAAATAAATCAACATAAACTATATATAACTGTGCATCTAAAATATAAATATACTGGATAAATTATATGAAATATATGAAACAAAAGAACTAAAAACAAGAAAAATTATTTTCTGCTGGAAAGAAATTAAGTCCATTTCAATGACAAAGCAAAAATTGTCAAAACTATTTTATTCTATAAATAAGGATAATAAATAATTAGTTTTTCAAATTTAGTTTGGGAAAAAGGTTCTTGTAGATTTTTTTCATTGCGAAGATTGTATTTGTTTATGGGCCTTACACTATAAAGGTTTATAAATACATCAGGAGATAAATGATTTTTACATTTAAACATGAAACAAAATATTATAAACAAAATAAGATCTCAAAATTTTGGTTTGGGGATGAAAGAAAGAAAGGGGGGATCTTATGAAAGAAAGGTTTACTATTTACAACTAAAATTTTAGTTTGGGGATCTTATGAAAGAAAGATTTACTATTTACAACTAAAATTTTGGTTTGGGGATCTTATGAAAGAAAGGCTTACTATTTACTATTTTTTAGTCTTTATTAGCTTTACCAAAAAATTATTTTTTGAAGCTAAAAAAACCCAAATTAGGTTTAGTTCTAATTAAAGTATTAACCCATGATGAGCAGATGCAGCAAACATTGGTTATTAGGTGCTGAATGATAAATATTTTGGTATTAATTATAAGTAAGTCAACTAAAATATACAACTTTATCAACTAGTAGAGTTTTGTACCAAAAACCAACGGTTTCAAACAACTGAAAAACTTTAAGATCATAACTTAACATTGACCATAATTTATCATTGTCACAAGTTAAGTCAAGATAATCAATAGTTTGAATGAGGTCAGCAGTGTTGTTTTAAAATTACTTTTATAGCTGCAATCCGAGTATACTGTCATGTGTCCAAAAGCTTGTGAAACAAGATTTTCTTGAATTTTTTAGAACTTTACACCTATCCAGGCTGCAGATAAAGGAGATGTGAAAATCCTAATGGTTGCTGATAAAATTCTTGATTTCATTATATGATTCAACTGCATGCAATTTAACTAAAATGAGGCTATGAAAGCCACAAGAAACTTAGAGGATTAATCTGTAAAGGAGTCCAACTTACATACAATTTTGGCCCCCCGCCCTACCTTTTTTTTTCTTTCTTAAAACACATTTACGCTCAAGGATGTTAGAAAACAATATAAAACTACAGCTTACGACTTAAAAATAATATTGAAATAAAAAAAAAAAAATATTTATACATAATTTATTCATAAATATATATATTTGTATATAAATATATGCATATATAAATTACTAGATAAGTATGACGCCAAGCTGATCAGATTTTTTAATAAATAATCCTTAAGACTCTAACGATTCAATGGTGTAAAAATCTAAACACGGTCAGCTTGATGTGGATATGGGCCAAAAAGATATCAAAGTAGGACATACTCCTTTAGTGGTTGCTGTCTGATTCAAATTATTAATCATATTTTAGCATAATTTAGTTATGATAAAAAATATATGATTTAATTAAAAACTAATATATATAAATTTATTCTGATAAAAAAAAAAAAATTTAATTTAAATATAAAAATATAAAATTTAATTTTGATTTAAAAAATATATTTAAGTTTATTAAAATTAAAGTTAATGCCTGGGTTTAACTTAACTATCAAATTTATTAAAAATATTACTAAATATTGTTCAAATTTTACTTATTCTTAAATTTTACTTATTCTTAAAAATAAATTAGCTCATTTTTATGGCAATTGTTTTTTCGGTTTTCCTTCCTAAACATTTTTTTTTTACTCAAAATTAAATTTGAAATAAACAACGGCATCAAAACTTTGCACAAAATGTAACGCAACTTTTTTTTAGCAATTTTTAGCAATTTTAAAAAAATATTTAACATAAAATATGTTAAATATTTTTTTAAAATATTTAACATATTTTAATTCATTTATGCAAATGTTAAGAAAAAAAAAAAAATTTGTTTGAAACATTTTTTAAAATGTAATATTAAATTTAATTACTTAATACTAAAAAAAAAAATATTTCCTTATAGTAAAAATAAAAAAGAAATTAAATAATATTTAACTCGTTTTGCGGTAATTAATATTATTGCAGTAATTTAAAAAAGTTAATGTCTTTAAAAATTAAAAAAAATAGAGAGAAATTTATCAAGCAGGCCCAACTACATTTACAATACAACTTTTGACCATGTCTAGAAGAGAAAAAGCATGATTAGGAGAAACAGCCTAAATATGACATTAGTATTCCATACTGATATCATATTCAAAATTACTGATGTCATATTGATTGTTAGGGGATCAAAAAAGCTTTAGAGGTAGATAATGGAATCAGGATTAAGATAATGACAAGTACAATAAATAGAAGCAGACTTTGCAATAAATCGTAAAATAATAAATGGTTTCCATGAGAGGTTAGCAGTATATGATAATCCAAGAAGAGAACTTGTTGAGGTGGTTGCACTCAAGATCAGTTGCCTATTTTAAGCAATTGAAAAGAGATGTCAAGACAGGATTATAAAATTGAGTTGTCAGTAAATAGAGCCTAATTAAATGTACAATTGTCAGGAAGATAATTAATGTAGATAAAAAACAATACAGAATCACCTAAAGTAGTTCTAACCATGAGTGAAGGTAAGTGATTAGGGTCAGAGAAATTAGAGCCGAGTTATTCAGTGTGATGAGCATTAAAGTCACCAATAACAACAATATTGACAGAGGAGTAAAGAGAGAGAGTTTGGTCAATTTAATCAAAAATTAAACTTAAAAGAGTGCAATTTTGAGTAGAAGGAGAACTATAAAAAACAAAGAGAAAGGTTATAGAGTGAAGAGGTGGCGTTCGGAAGCACATAAAAGAATGGTCAGAGAATTCAAACCTAATATACACTAAGCCGAGCATGTGACTATTAGAGTCTTTGCGACTCAAAAGATAGTAGCCATTAAAACTGAGATCTTAAGAACAAACAGCCAAATTTAAATTAGTTTTACAAAGAACAAGCAAGTCTGGTTCATTTTGCAAGAAGTAAGGTTCAAATGACTGAAAGTTTTTCTAAGACCATAAATCTTTGTGAAAAAAATATTGATATACTTAAGCAGTGGGGATGGTTTTTCTGTTTAATATTTTTGGTAACTTTAGGCATAGTTAAAGTTATAGAGAACTTGATTCATTCATAGATAAAGCATGGCATTCTTAGCAATGAACTATGCAGCTGTCTCAGTCCTGCTAATTAACCAAAAGTCATAACTTAGGGCTCTTTATATGGCTTCGACAATCCACACCAGAAGGAATACCTAAGTATTTTTATCAAGACACAATCTCTAGCCTTAACCAAGAACCCAAAGCAAGTGAATTTTAATTTACCAAGCCTTTGTCTATAAAAGCAAATTCTACATAACAAAACATATCTACATATGTTATATAAACATTTTCTAGGAGCTGCAGACATTTTAAATAGGTGGATTATATCCTCGTAAGAACTAAAACCATCATCTAAATGAATTGATCTAGTTTATGAAGATTTTCAGAAGTTTAAAAAGATAAAAATGCACTGCAGAAAAATTTTGGTATTTTTTAATCAAAATGTTTTTTCTGTTCCATATAAGTTGATGACATCAACAATTCCTTGTTATAAGATGTTGGCAAACTTAAAAAACTAACAGATGTTAAAAAACTTGTTTCAACTTGTGATGATGGTCCAGCTATCAGAGCAAATTTACTAATATTTAAATCATTACTTACATTATCACAACTCAAATATTTAAAAATTTTTGTATGGTATTGTAATAACTTATATTTCTTTTGTCAATATTTTAAATGAAGCTTTACTCGTTTTATCTTGTTGCTAAGCAAAGCATGAAAATAATAATCACAAAAAACCATTGCACTGTTTTTAACTTCAGTAACTTTTTCCCACTCTCCAGCGTTCTCAAAGACATTTTTAAATATAAAAAACATTATTTTCTGATTTAAAAAATAAAAAATACATATAGGTTAAACATAAAAATTTATTTTTTTACAGCTTTAAATTATTTTAACAAATCTTTCAAGAAATTCTTAATCGCATTTTTGCAAAATAACTTGTTATAAATTATTAAATAACATTATATAAATATACTTTGAACAAAGTTAAAAGGGAAAACTATAATTAGTTTCAATATTATCTAAAGAAAAAAAAGTTTTAAAATAAAATAAAAATAACTAATAAAACTAAAACTAAAATCAAACCTAAAAAAACCCAAAAAAAAAATTTACCCAAAAAAACCCCACTTGCTTTTGCCAACCCTGACTATCCTTGTAAAGTTGCATCAATTTTGCTTTACTACAAAAACTATAATGGTTAATGATCAAGCAAGCTATTATCTTTAATTCCGTAAACCAAAACTAATTCTTGCTTAACTTGTTACCCAGCTAAGTCACATCCTTTTACTGTATCTGTCCCTCTATGCTCTAAAACCTTTTAAATACTTTGGAATTGCCTTCTTATTGTTTCCCTGACTCATACAATTTACAGTTTTGAACCTTGTTAAGAATTGGGACTAGTTTACAAAACAACAACATCAACGTAATAAATGGTTACTTGCAGCCTTGTTCGCAGTTAAATAATTAATTAAAAAAATATTATGCAAATAACATATAGAAGATTTTAAAAGAATTTGATTGAAGAGATATAAAAATAAAATACTATGTTGACTTCAAAACCATGTAACTTTAAGTAGAACTTAAAATTATATACCTTATTATAAAAAAAGACAACAAAACTAACTTTCTATAAGCTTTTCTAATAGTCAAGAACTTGCTGTCTAGTTTGGTGTCTAAAAGACTCCAACAAATATTTCTCCAAATCTTCCAATGACTAGTTGCCTAAATGCATAATGATTCCAGTAAAATATAAATGCATAATGATTCCAGTAAAATATAAATGCATAACAATTCCAGTAAAATATAAATGCATAATGATTCCAGTAAAATATAAATGCATAATGATTCCAGTAAAATATAAATGCATAATGATTCCAGTAAAAATATAAATGCATAATGATTCCAGTAAAATATAAATGCATAATGATTCCAATAAAATATAAATGCATAATGATTCCAGTAAAATATAAATGCATAATAATTTAAGTAAAATATAAATGCATAATGATTCCAGTAAAATATAAATGCATAATGATTCCAATAAAATATAAATGCATAATGATTCCAGTAAAATATAAATGCATAATAATTTAAGTAAAATATAAATGCATAATGATTCCAGTAAAATATGAGTGCACAATGATTCCAATAAAATATAAATGCATAATGATTCCAATAAAATATAAATGCATAATGATTCCAGTAAAATATAAATGCATAATAATTTAAGTAAAATATAAATGCATAATGATTCCAGTAAAATATAAATGCATAATGATTCCAGTAAAATATAAATGCACAATGATTCCAGTAAAATATAAATGCATAATGATTCCAGTAAAATATAAATGCATAATGATCACACAAAATATAAATTGAGGAAAAATAAACTCAAAAAAAAGTTCACATCAGAGCCTCAGAACAAAAAAAGATTAGATAAAATGTTCTTTACATAAGTTGAACCTGAGTTACGGGTACTCCCCTGCTTTAAATTTTTAGTTCTTTGCAATAGGTAAAATAGTTATGTCTTTAAACTTTTTTTTTTAATGTGGGTGTGAATAAAATTAACTCGAGAGAATATTTAACTTTAAGTTAAAAAGAAATAGTCTCGAGCAAAGGATAATCACACATGCAAACTCATTTGTAGAGAGCCTCATAGACAAAGACTTTAAGGGTATGCAAAAAATATATGTTAAAATATATATAGTCTCACAGCTAGAGATTTATCAGAACCAGTTTATGCCAAGTCTCCCATTCCTGGTACCCGGAAGAAAAAACCATCTCCGAGTTTGGGTACCCTTTTCGATTATTAAAAAGGTGGAATAAAAGCTTGAGAAATCTTTTGTGTTGAATTTTATTTTTAACAAAATAACGCTGATTAATTTGCACTATTTAAGTTTTCCTTAATTTATAAAGTTTCTTAATATTTAATAATTATTAATAGGTTGTTAATATTTGCAATAAGGGGTATAAAGCACGTATGCTTTTATTTTAACCTCCCCTATTCTTCCCCACATTTTGATATACGCTTTTTCGAGTACCCTCCACCTCCCTAAAAGTACCTATGCTTATAACCTATCTACCTAACTTTTTATATTTTTTTAATATAGTGTCTCCTTTCTTTTATAATTAACCCCTGCCCCCATCTCATATACGCTGTTTGCAGACCTCCTCTCACGCATCCAAGCATATGTACTTTATGGACAATCCCTAACTTGCTGTCTTACTTCATTAATGCTAACATCATCAAGAGAGCTTTAAAGTTAAAATAAACTTCAAAAAATACTGTTCCGGCTAACTAACTTTTGTTTTATAACTCTGGTATTATATGATATTTATACTTTTTTGTAATTTATTGGACTAATTAATCAAAAGTTATGTTACGTAAATAAAAGATTAGGAGAAACAAAGAATTACAAAAAGAGTAGACCTTTTCAACTGTAGCGCAAATAAAATGAAAAAAAAATATTTTAAACAAGACACGCTTGTATTGAGTAAATAGGGCTTTGTGGATATTGACTCTATAACTCTTTTAGGCTTATATCAAGAAGTTTGGTTAAAAATTTAAAGTTAAAAATAAAAGCAATGCTACTATTAATATTTCGACACAATTCAAAGTATCACTTAAACATTTAGTTACAGCATTTAAGGTAAATGTTTAATAAAATTTTTTTCTATGATACCTGTTGCTGGGTACTGCAAAAAAATGGCTGATTCTGGGTACCCGGGAAAACAGCCAAATTATATGGCCCCCGGGTCCAAACCAGATACCCGGCACATCATTACTCACAGCCTGGCAGCCTGACTTTGGTATTATAGCTATTAATTTAATGGCTATTATACCAAAAAAAAAAAGAAAATTAAACAGTAAAACTATTATCACCACCAAATTCTTTTAGTCTGTCATTTATAAATATTCATGATCTTTAAACTAATATTTTATCCATTCAATCTTAGTTTTCTCAAAATTCACCACAAAAAAATGAATATTCACCAGATTTGGTTGTAGCACAAATAAGTAAACTCACTGGATCTGGTTGTAGCACAAATAAGTAAACTCATTGGACCTGGTTGTATAATAAATAAGTTAATTCACTGGATCTTGTTTTAGTAAGTAAAATTGTTACTTACGTATCAATTTATTTAATTGTGTTAAAACCAAGCTTGAATCATCTAACAATTTATTTTGTTCATCTGATTATTCTAGTAAAATAGACTCAGCAAAAAAGACCACTTTATCCCTCAATACCGCATTTTAGTTAATGATCTGTCAAAACTAGATTTTATTTATCTGTCAATGCTGCAGTTTTTAGAAGGTTTTATGTTCATGGTATTAATTGATATAGCTCTAGTATAAATGACCTTGAATGCATTAAAGCTTTTGACTTTCTAAATTTATTACCTAGATATTCAAACACAAGGCTTGGTCAGGAAGCGGGTGCGATTGCATTTGATAATTGACCACGGAAATAACAGTTGCAAAAATCCGGCCAGATTTTTTAGTTGTTTTGAAAACATTTCAAAAACAAAAAAAAGTGCAATCAGATTAACTGGACCAATGAGCGACAGTTAGAAAAAAAAAAAAAACTTTTAACACGAAAAAATTTAAGCAAAATAAATACAATCAGGGCCGTCCCGAAGAGATTTTAAAGGAGGGGGTGATGTGTCTGTTTTTTGCTGACTAAAGCCAAAAAAAAAAAAAAGGTCCTTGTTTTCCGACTGCCAACAATAGATGCAATTTTGCCGACTCAATAGATACAATTTGCCGAACGAAACAACGGCCCTAAATACGATTAGAGCAAGTATTTTTTAAAATGTCGCTCTTTCATAATTTTTTTTATAAATTTAAGTGACATTTTTTATATAAAGCAACAACTTACTATTAATGATTGTTTAATAAGGAAACAAATGTTCTTCGATTTATCAAAGAGTATATATAATTTATATATATATATATATATATATATATATATATATATATATATATATATATATAATTTTTATTTGTCTTATTTCTAGGGCTGGAATAAGGAGGTGGGGGTAGAAGGGGAGGGGGTAGAAGGGCTATGGCTCCGGCTGTCTAATATTCTAAAAATAAATTAAAACTTTTAATTAAAAATTAAAAGATGTTTTTTTGATGCAAGTATTTAATGCAAAATAATATTGTCTAATACAAGGGATAGAGAATAAAACTCATTAATTACTTGGAATACAACAATCTATTATTTTGTGAATTACCATTTTTCATATTAGAAGAATGGTTAACAATCAGTTATTTGTCATTGCATATCTGATACACAAACTTGATTTTACTTCTGAGGATCTTTGTAATAAACGTTTTTTTAAATCAATTCTTGAATCTCCATATTTTTAACTCTAAACTTAAGTTTGCTTTAGTATTACTTATGTCAAATGAGTAAAGTGGAACACCTTGTTCCACTTTACTTCTTCTTGAACAAGATTTTAATTTAAACAGTTACAACAACTTAAGATGACAGTTGCATAGATTAAATATTTCTTTCATTGACTTTTCTTTTTAAAGCATATTAGATCTGCTACATTGACTTATCTTTTTAAAGCATATTAGATCTGCCCAGTTATATATTCAGCCATTTATTAAAATGTTAACTTAAATGCAAAATCTTTTTCATAAAATATGAAAATAACATGGCATTTACAAAATCTCCAACCTATATTCAACCAAAATATTGGTAAAGACAGTGTTACCTTTACCATATAATGTGTGGTTATTTATATTAACAATATTTTATTTGCATTTTTATTTTAAAGTTTATTTTTGCTTACAGTAAAAATAATAAAAAGTAATTCTTGCTAGAACAAATTTCAACAATAATTTCAACACAAAAATTTAAAAGCTATTAAATTTTTTCTTTTTACTGTAACTATCTCCATAAAGGAAAGAGGCCACTACTGTTAAAGTGGATACTTTTAATTTTCTTAATTGTATATTTTAAATGAAAACTTAATTAAAATAATATATTGAAACTATATTATATATTAAAACTATACTGAAATTATTTTATAAAATATCGAAATAATATATAACCTTAATGCTTTAAACCTTAGGAAACAAGCTCATTGCACATATGGAGATGAAACTTGTTAATTATACAACACTAAGTAGGATTATTACAGTCATCATTTAAATTAAAACCAAATATGTACATAACTGCAGTTTTAAAAGACTGATTAAAATATTTAACAAAAATAAGCTGAAACATCAATGTGATTCTTAATTTTCAAATTCATATTCTATTTATTTTTTTTTCTTTTTTGATATTATGATATAGGTAAGAGTACACAGACAAAACTAAGTAAGCAAATAAACACAGCCAAAAACAAATAAAAATAATATTGTTTTAAAAACCTTTTTATAACCTCCTATCCGATGGACCCTCTGATATAGCTTGAATAGACTAACTGAATGATTGTACCATGTAACATTGGTTGAAATTTTAGTTTTTTTCTTATCAGAAATAAAATGCTTGTATGTTCGCCAAAAGGTTTCCTCCTAAACATAATAAAGTTCATCAATCTCGTAAACAATTATAATCATTTATCTCTTAAAAAAAATTGTAATACCATAGTAATAGCCATTTATCTCTTTAATATACCCAATTATTTTACAATACTCCTATTTACCTTAGAACAATCAAATTATAACATAAATTTAACATTTCTGTAGTAATTTAGCAAAGACACAGATTAAAATTTGTTGAAATTTTTTTTTAACTTAAACACCCCAATTAAGAATTATTAATATTTTCATTTGATTAACGCTGAATTCAGAATTATCACATAGCAACAATCATTTGCAACCAGTAAGAACAGACCACAAATTTAAAATTTGCTAAATATATTTATAGACTATCTTTTACTTTACATGTATATATATATATATATATATATATATATATATATATATATACACAAACACACACACACACACACATATATATATCAGCCCTCAGAATTAGGGTCGGTATTCGATACTGCTGACCTTAAAGTGTTTGAGGTCAGTAAAAAATTGCTGACCTCGTTTCTTTGTTTTATAGTAAGACCTTTGTATCAAGTTATTCTTGCCAACCTGATGCCAACCTCTAAAAGATTAAAGTAAACAAATTATTGCCAACCTCATATTTCCTAATTCCGAGGGTTGATATATTATATATATATATATATATATATATATATATATATATATATATATATATATATATATATATATATATATATATATATATATATATATATATATCAATATATATATATCAATATATATATATCAATATATATATCAATATATATATCAATATATATATATATATATATATATATATATATATCAATATATATATCAATATATATATATATATATATATATATATATATATATATATATATATATATATATATATATATATATAAATATATATATATATATAAATATATATATATATATATATAAATATATATATATATATATATATATATATATATATATATATATATATATAAATATATATATATATATAAATATATATATATATATATATAAATATATATATATATATATATATACATATATTGATATATATATATATATTGATATATATATATATATATATATATATATATATATATATATATATATATATATATATATATATATATATATATATATATATATATATATATATATATTGATATATATATTGATATATATATTGATATATATATATATATATATATATATATATATATATATATATATATATATATATATATATATATATATTGATATATATATATATATATATATATTGATATATATATATATATATATTGATATATATATATATATATATATATATATATATATATATATATATATATATATATATATATATATATATATCAATATATATATCAATATATATATATATCAATATATATATATATATATATATATATATATATATATATATATATATATATATATATATATATATATATCAATATATATATCAATATATATATATATCATTATATATATATATCATTATATATATATATACATACATATATATATATATATATATATATATATATATATATATATATATATATATATATATATATATAAGGAGTATATATATAATATAAGGGATATATATTTAATATATAATGTATATAACATAATATATATACAATATATGTAGGGGAGAATATAATATAATATATGAGTGGAAAGAAGTGGGATGCAGGAGAAGTGGAACAGCCTGAAATTTCTAATTAGGAGTGGTGCGTAAATACTGTTACTTAATGTAAATAATTATTATTTTTTCCCTCTATTTAGCAGAAATTACCTAGTCTCTCTGCGTGCGTAGGAAGCCCTAATTTTGAAATGTACCTTAAAAAAGTGTTTACATTGGGCTGAAGTGGAACAGAAAAAAGAAATATTAATGCCCCTGGTGTATTGCTTCCAAAGCCTGTTCTGTCCAATAACCAAGGCCTAAGTATTTTTTTATACAATATAATTTAATTTAAATCATTTTTAAATCTGTTTAAATATAAAATAAAGTCCAAAGAATTCCCAAATATTTACCTAAATATTCAATATTGTCTGATAGATTTCCTTAAAAAAACACTTACCAAATGTGCCCCTTTTAAGGTCAATAAACTCTGCAATATTTTGCTCAACAATATGAACTTTAACTGTTAAACTGGTTCTTATATTTTTGCAGTCATCTAAGAAGTTTTTGAAATTGTCTTTGCAATTTTTACACAATGTTTTCCCAAAAAATCCATCTATAACTTTTTTAAAAGATTTTAGGGCCTTGATATATTTGGCCCCATGAATACCAAGACCATGTATATAAAAAAATCTATTTAGAATATCAACATTTTTTAAAAATAAATTTGAGGCATTTCCTTAAAGTCTGTGTTGTCCTTGATATGATACTCTGCTAAGACTAATGGACTTAAGGTTGGCTGACATGAAGTTAAAACCATCTTCTTTGTTCTTAAACATATTTTTTTCAATTTCAGAAACAATTTTGTTAACAATACCAAGTAGAATATGAAGCCCTGGAATGTTCATTATCTCAATAATTGTTTTCTCAGGATCACCTGTAATAAGAGGAGGATAAATGCTATTTTAAAATTTTTTGGCCTGACTAAGTTTAGAAACATTTTCTAACCATTTTTGGTGCCATTATTGCAAAAAACTGATAGTGTTTGTCTTAGGTTTAGGCAATAAATTATCTCAGTTTCGCAGAATGGACACTGGTGTTTAAAAGATGCACATTGTTTTCTGACCATTTGTAGTTGAACCTTAAAGTCTTCTGACAATGAGTAGTCTAAAGATCCTTTATTAAGTTTTCCAATAAGCATTCATAAGTTTACATAACTTTCATTCATTAAGAAAAAGTAACATCTTTTAGACCTACTATGTAAAAATATTGAGTACAAAAAAATTTTTTGATAATGCTCAGGCCAACTGTATATATATATATATATATATATATATATATATATATATATATATATATATATATATATATATATATATATATATATATATATATATATATATATAAAAACATAGAGCCTCCTTAATTGATAGTTTTCTATGTATATATATATATTTTCTATATATATATATATTTTCTATATATATATATATATAGATATTTTCTATATATATATATGTATATATATATATATATATATATATATATATATATATATATATATATATATATATATATATATATATATATATATAACATAGAACCTCCTTAATTGATAGTTTTCTATGGATTATGTTACATCTTTATATAAGACCAAACAAACGCATTTATGGCTGATCTCATTTTAGAAAATAACATTTTTCACGGCAAGTACTAACGTGAAACGTAACTAAAGTGAGATCAAATTCAAGATAGGCAACCTGTTTTAAGCAACTAAAAAAGAGTATAAAATTGAGTCGTAAGCAAATAGAGCCATTTTAGATCAAAATTTTTCCAAACTCACACCATATAAGTGAAGAGCAATAGTCTTTGCCTCACCACCTTAACCTAATGCACAATAGATTCTTTCAGCTACGATAGTTAACAAGCTAGCCATAGAATTAGATTGAAAACCATATTGACTGTCAGCAAGTAAGTTATTAGACTTTTAGAAATGTGTTGATCAAAGACTTAAAGACCATGCTAATAATAGAGATAAGACTGATTGACTCTATGTTCTTTAGAGTTTAAAAAAAATTTGAACTACAGATGCTAATTTCCAGCAGGTAGGAAAACAAGATTCAGTCAAGCATTATTTAATAATTTAGAGAGAATTATAGAGAGTACTAGAAAACACTTTTGTAAGTATATGACAGGAATGTTATCTGGATCACAAGGTGCAGAAGAGTTTAAATATGAAATGAGCCCAAGGCAGGGGTATTTTAAGTCAGAGTTTATTTCTCCTAGTCTTTGCCTGAAAAAAATAAACTAGATAACTACTAGATAACTAAAGATAAAGGAGAATATAAATTTTAAAATTGAATTTACTGTTAAATTACATGCACTCCTAGTGTGGAGAAAGAGAAAATAAGAGAGGTATGGAGTAAAGTGTGATTTAAAGGCATTCAAAGCAATCATTGCCTTAAAATCTAAACAATAACCTGGAGATAGAGAATATTTCTGAGATTTTAAATATATTGACTTTAAAAGAAAGTGCTGGGGACAAGTTGATCAAAATCTATCAGAATACCATATTTAAATTTTAGGAATTAACCCTCTTGAATTAAAACTAGGTTTATCATTTCATATTGTCATTTGGAATTACTATTCTGCACCAATATGTTGCCTTATATTTAAAATATGCATGTAATCCTAATTTATCCAAGAAAGTCTTTGTGGTTTCCATGCATCACCTAAATTGCAGGGTTTCAATACTAGGTTTTCAGATAGTTAAAAATTATTTTAATTCTACCTAATTTAAACATCACATTCAACTTTTATATATTTTTAACTATATCTGGTCAGGTTTGTTGAATGATACCTGGTTTTCATAGTTACTACACCATTGTTAAAAATTTATTTTAATTTGGATCAAATTTAAACAGATTTTTGGATTATTATTTAAATCAGATTGGAAACACCTAAACACCAAATATCTTTCCATATTTTTTAAATGCATAAAAGCATTTGTCTTTATTTTAGCATTTCAGAGAGTTTATGGCGTATTTGAATTTTTTCTTACCAGAGAATTAATTATTTTTTCAAAAAAAAGCACTTCTTAAAAATAAATAAAAACAGTTATATAAAGAATAAATGTATATAAAATAAAATATTCAAGCAAACATAAAAAATCTGCTATGGAGTTTTAATAAAAGTAAAAAGTTTGTTTCTTTTAACAAAGATAAAATGAACACTTAGAACATTTTTATTTCAATATTTTTTAAACTTTTTTTTGTACTTACATATTATTTACTAAGTTAATTAACTTTAAATGAACTTATATATATATATATATATATATATATATATATATATATATATATATATATATATATATATATATATATATATATATATATATATATATATATATATATATATATATATATATATATATATACATACATATATATTGGCCCCCTTGGGCCTTAGGGAGGTGAATAATTAAATATATATATATATATATATATATATATATATATATATATATATATATATATATATATATATATATATATATCTATATATATATATATATATATATATATATATATATATATATATATATAAACAATTCTAAAAATGTTAAAAAATATATTTTTAAGAACATATCTGTAAAGAGGTTTCAATCATAACTTCATAAGTTTTTGAATATTTTAATTTATAAATAAATTTCTATTTATTTTTGGCGTGTTTTTTGAGTCAATATACTGTCTATGAGACTTTTTTCATAGCAAAATGTGTTTCAAAATTATGTCTGATATTAAAACAATAGTTTTAATATCAGACATTTTATAATTTTAATAAAGATAAATATTCAAATAAAATAAATACCTAGATATTGTATTTACTTATGACTAAATATTGTATTTTTTTTTAAAGGAAATAATAAAAAATATTTCATCATATAAAACTATGATATTATTAACGTGAAAACAAATAATAACAAAAATCCTTCAATAAAAATGTAATAAAAAAAAAAAATAAACAAATTAAAAAACTACTTTAAAGTTGTTATTTATAAACATTTTATTTATGATTATAAACATTTACAGACAAATGCACTAAAAGCTAATGTATAAATTTATTTAATGCTTTTATTCTGAAAAATTACCAATAAAACTGTTTTTTAATAAGTATAGAAAAATGGATTAGTCTAAATATCCCATTTATTAATAATTCTTGATAAGGAATCCCAATTTATAGAAAAAACAAATTGGATATCCAGTATGCTTTTTACTGACACAAATTATTTTTTAAATCAGATGATCTGAAATTAAGATATCCAATAATTTGGATATTTTTGCTCACCTCTAATTTCAACCAACAAAATCAAAATTGTTTAAGTTCATTGTTTTAGTTAGTGGTGGTTAGTTAAAATAAACTTTTTTTAGAATTTAAAAAATTTAATAGACTTAAAGACTGTAAAAGACAAGGGCATAAGTACAATTATAATCAAGGGATTTTAACAGAAGTTCATTCCATATAAAATCGTCTCCAATTTAGTTCATTCTTACTTTATATGCAATTCATAAAAAATAAATGGTGAAAAATTCAATTAAAAATACAAAAGTTTATATCACCATTTAAAATAATGCTGATTCAGCATTTTAGTGATAGCTCTAAGGACAACAAAGCAACTATGATACCTTGATAATAGTTTAAGGTTTTCTTAAAATTTGGAACCTTAACAGATTTTTGCTTGAGCAATATAAAAATAGTATTCTGGGGATGTGATACTCTTAAGGACCTCCTTTACTTAATTTTATTCAAAAATAATCCTTGAAAAAGATAACCTTAGTAAAAATAATCCTTGAAAAAAACAACCTTTGTGAAAAATTCTAATTGTATATAATTACTTTGTTTTAGGTCAACTGAAATATCCAGACTCACGCTTTATTTATTTAATAATAAATCAAATTATGTACAAAATAAAAATTTTAAAATTTTTAAACATAAATTTTGTAACTAAAGACAGCAAACAATATAGTGTTAATTTTTCATCAAAACCATTTAAAATTAATAATTTGTTTTGGTTTATATTTTTTCACTATTTTTTTTATTTGAATGCATTTACATATATTTGGGGTACCTGATGGATTACTTGTAATATACCACTTAAGTTTTATAGAGCAAATTTTTAACCAAATTACCTTAACATTTGAAGCTTTTAACATTCAAACAAGATATTCTTATTCTGGTGCAAGTGCTTGAATTTGAATGCATCAGAACCTTTTTACATTAAGAGTATGAAATTTGTTTTTGATTTTATACATTAAAATGTGTATATCAAGATCGTTGCATTTGTTATTGTGTGAAATGGTGCTGTTTATTTCATTAAAAACATGTTGAAACATTTTTAATTCAACACTATTCTACAGACATCCTTATTACATACATAATTAATTACATACATAATTAATTACATACATAATTAATTACATAATTAATTACATACATAATTAATTACATACATAATTACATACATAATTAAAGTATTACACATTAAAAATATTAACTTCTATAAAAATTTAAAATAACCTATATGCAAATTAACTTATATCATCATTTATAAACTATATGCTTATTAACTTACATCATTATATGGATGCTTTTCATGTAGAGTTGCTTGTATTCTTGTAGCTTTCTTAGCTGATATCATTGCAAGGTCATCAGATAGGCTACCAGTTTTTTTGCTGTCATCTGCTTTTTTGCTTTTTAATTTTTTTTCTTCCTTATTTGATTTTTTCTTTGCTGAATATTTTACAGGACTCGATACACTGTTAGTTGCATTATTACTTCCATAATTCTCAACAAATGAACTGGTTTCAGTATTCTCCACAAATGAACTGAGTTGGGATAACTGTTTATTAGTGTCTACTATTAATGGAAAAACTCTTCCATTCAGACTGATGAATATCTAATAAAAATCAAAATAAAAAAACTATTAATAAAAGCAATACAATTGCAACAGATAATGATGTAGACTTTCTTATGTCTTTGAATGCATTGTACCTTATTTTTTTTGAGAAGGGCCTTTAGTTAACTTCATTTTTTTGACCAGCAGATTCATTTGATTTTTTAAGCAGTTAATTTGTTTTGATATTTTGGAGTAGAGGGAAAAAAGAAAAAATTGCTAAAAAAAAAAGAGTCTCAGTTCCCTCGACTGTAGCTCCTGGTGGAGCCTTGGAAAAGTAAATTTAACTTTAAAAAAAAAAATTTAAACATTTAACATGGAATTTAGCATGAAATCCAATCCAGCACAAAGTGAAACAGTAGATTAATTGTCTGTTATATTGATTTAAACAGCTGTGATGGTATTCACAAAAAAAGAAAAAAAGTTCATTTGCATATCAACTTACCAGGATTTTATTTTAAATCAGTAGTACTAATGTAGCATGATAACTTTATTACTAATGTAATGAAGTTATAAGCATACTTATTAGTGTGCATGTAATATGATCGATTTAGAATAAAAATTAACATTATACACTATATATAACTAATTAACTGAATGTAATTATAAGCGAAAGTAAAAACATTTAATCACATAGATTAGCAATCAATATGTTAATATATTGCAATCTTAACTGGTTCCACAAGGTTCTATCCTTGACCCTATACTCTTTTTAATTTACATTAACAATCTTCCAGAAGTTCTCATATTGTTTGATGATACTATCATTTATTCTTGTCTTGACAAGAAACCAACACTCTCTGATTGCTTGGAGGGGGCATTTAAGCTTGAAAAGAATTTCACTTCTGTTACAGCATAAGGCTCCCAGTGTCTGGTGAACTTTAACTCAAAGAAAACTCAATTTTTTTCAGCTAATTGTTATTGCAAAAATCTAGATCTTCCTATATTTATAAACGGTAATGTACCTGATAAGTCATCTACCCTTCATTTTCTAGGATTTACTCTTACTTCCGATCTTTCTTGGAAACCATACATTAAATCAATTGCAAAATTAGCATCTGCTAAGGTTGCATTTTTTTTTTTTTTATTATCTGCAAGCAACCACTATTAAGTTGGGAGTTACTAGGGAAAAAAAGAACAGAGTTATAGAGCAAGGAAACGGTTGACAGAAGACTTGAAAAGTTGAAGGTTGTATGAGTCAGGAAAACTTGAAGATGGGAGAGAGTTCCAAAGGATTGAAGTGCGGGGAAAAAAACTAGATGAATAAAAGTTTTTAGAGCATGCAGGGACAGATACAGTAAACGAATTAGACTTAGCTGAATGACGAGTAAAACGAGAATGAATTTTAGTTGATGGAACTAGAGATAATAACTCCTTTGAGCAGTAACCATGATAGTATTTGTAGAAAAGAGAAAGAGATGCAACTTTACGACGATGGGAAAGAGCTTCAAGCTTAGCAGATAGTCCAGGTCCAACAACATTTACAATGCCTTTTTGGACCTTGTCAAGAAGAGAAAGTGAATCGTTAGAAGAACCAGCCCAAATATGACAACAGTATTCCATACAGGGACGAATAAGAGATTTGTAGAGGTAGAGAATGGAACCAGAAGTAAGGAAATGGCGAGCACGATAAAGAGAAGCAACCTTAGCAGAAGCTAATTTAGCAATCGCATTTATTGCATTTATTTATCGTGCATTTATTTATAAAGTTTATCAATGCATTTATTTATCGTGCTTGCTAATTTCTTACTCAGGATTCTATTCTTTGTCTTAATAAATCCAAATTCATCCTTGTATAGAATTCTGTTGCCATTTCTGAGGTGGATCTTTAAACGTTGCTTTTTCTCTTTTAGACAAGGTGCTAAAACACATTTTAAACATAGTTAGACCTGCTCTTGCAGTCAACCTCCAATCATTATCACATCTTCCTAAAGTTGCTTCTCTTTACTATAAATACTATAATGAGCACTGCTCTAAAAAGCTAGCGTCTCTTGTGCCATATATATTGGAGGTTTGCTGCAAGAGCGGTCTAACTATGTTTACTATTTGTTTTTGCACTTTGTCTAAAAGAGAAAGGGCATCATTTGAAGATCTGCCTCAGAAATGGCAACAATATTCTATACAAGGACAGATATATTAACTAAAATTCATTATTGTGTTACTTGTCATTCAATTAAGTTCCATCTTTTTACTGTGACTGTTTCTAAGTGCTCCAAAAATTCTTATTTGCCTAGTTTTTTTCTTCGAACTTCAGTTCTTTGGATTTGTTTCCTTTATCTTGTTTTCCTGATTAGGGTTAGGGTTCATGTAATTTGCAATCTTTTAAGTCATCTTTCAATCGTTATTTTGCTTTATAAACTTTATCTTTTCTCTTTCAGTAACTTTCAACTCTAATAGTGGTTGCTTGCAGCCTTGTCAGAAGTAAAGATGTCAAAAAATAAAAAACATGCAATTTTACTTGTAGTAAATATAGAATCTTTACAAAAACATTAAGAAATCAGATAAATACCACAAGTAAAATCTTTCTTTAAGAGATCAGATATATACCACAAGTAAAATTTTCTGAAAATTTAAGAAAACTATTTATTAAGAACTTTTGTCAGTTTTGTTTGTTTTGTAACAATTTAAATCTTAAATTCTAAAGTTTGTGTTGGACGATTCCATCTTTTCTCTATCAGTAACTTTCAACTCTAATAGTGGTTGCTTGCAGCCTTGTCAGAAGTAAAGATGTCAAAAAATAAAAAACATGCAATTTTACTTGTAGTAAATATAGAATCTTTACAAAAACATTAAGAAATCAGATAAATACCACAAGTAAAATCTTTCTTTAAGAGATCAGATATATACCACAAGTAAAATTTTCTGAAAATTTAAGAAAACTATTTATTAAGAACTTTTGTCAGTTTTGTTTGTTTTGTAACAATTTAAATCTTAAATTCTAAAGTTTGTGTTGGACGATTCCATCTTTTTTCTATCAGTAACTTTCAACTCTAATAGTGGTTGCTTGCAGCCTTGTCAGAAGTAAAGATGTCAAAAAATAAAAAACATGCAATTTTACTTGTAGTAAATATAGAATCTTTACAAAAACATTAAGAAATCAGATAAATACCACAAGTAAAATCTTTCTTTAAGAGATCAGATATATACCACAAGTAAAATTTTCTGAAAATTTAAGAAAACTATTTATTGAGAACTTTTGTCAGTTTTGTTTGTTTTGTAACAATTTAAATCTTAAATTCTAAAGTTTGTGTTGGACGATTCTATGTAAAAAATTCAATAAAAATCAATCCTTAGTTTTAGATTTTGTTGATTTTTACATCACTCAAAGATTTTAATAAGTTATAAACATCCTCAAAATTCTAATTCCAAACAGTTTCAAAGATATATTTATTTTAACTTTGCCTTGAACCAACAAAAAACTGTTATTTGAAAAAATGATTTTAGTCTTTATTTCTGTTCTGTGTGCAAGCTTTATTTCTGTTCTGTGTGGAAAGCTGAAAATATGTTCTCTTACATATTTTAAGGCAAGGCATCCAATAAATTAACATAAAATATTTTAAAATAAACACAACTTTAATCTTTATCACATTTTTTCTAAGGCAAGTTTAATTAAGAAAATGTGGCTCGATTTTTCTTTTTTTAGATATCCTAATTAGTTTAAAGTTGTTACAAAGAATTGGAGAGTGGTCTTTTCTTAAACAGAAAAAAAAACATGGTTAAATTTATTTAAATTTGTTACTTTTTTTTTTTTTTTTTCAATTTTTTTTTTTATTTTAATTCACCTCCTCAAGGCCGAGAAGGCCACTACAGACGAGGAGGCTACTTATTTGTGGTTATAACCCTCTCTCAACTCTATAACTCCGAAACACGAACCTTGACGAGCAAGGCCGCTGCGCGGAGAAACGAGTTGAGCGCGGTACTACCAGGGACGTGGTGGGGATTATAAAACAAACTTATAAAACAGTATTTATAAAAAAACAAAGTAAAAGAAAACTTTTTAGTGCTTAATACACAGTTGATATTTGTTAATTCTCTGAAAATCTTCCTGCCCATTCTGAGCTTATTAAGACCCCCTCCCTCCATTTATTAAATTTTACTTGTTGTGAACAAAGAAACTGTATTTCATAACTTAAAAAAAAAAAATTTGTTATTATTTTTTAACTTTTAAAACTAGTTTAGGTCTTAAAAATTAGAAAATAAAACTCATTTACATAAATAAAATTAAAAATTCCTGCCCACCTGTTAGTCAAGGCTTCCCCCACCCCCTTCTTCCTTACCCATTACCCCACATTTTTTACATCTTAAAAAAGTTATTAAACTTAATTTGTCTATTGATCAAAAAAGTTTAGCAAGTTTATTATGCTAAACTATGAGTGCAATTTGACCAGATTAATAAATGCTCTATTATATAACTTATTGTAGCTTGTAATAATAAAAGACAAAACATGATGATAAACAACTTTATTAAATGATATTTTCTACTAATAGTCACAACCGATTGATGGCCAGTGGTCAATAAAAAAACCTGTTTATTATTCATTAAAATCAATTTAGTAAGCCAAAATTTGTTCAGTTTAGTAATAAAAATTTAACAAAATATTTATAAACATTATAAAATAAAATATGCACCACCAGGGTACTAGTGGTGCATGTTTTATTTTGGCTCAATGAGTCTTGGAAAAAACTAAAAATGAACGCTCAAAACAACATTTCCATAATGATTTAGACTTTAGTGAAGCATAAACTGTTAGAGGCAATAGATCCAAAACCAAATAAAAATACTTGATTATTTGAACATGTTAGAATCTAATTAAACACTAATTTGATGTAATTCATTAAGAAAAAATTTGTTTTTTTAAAAACTTCCATTACCAGTTAAGAATTCAAAACACACTTGGTTTTTAAAGCTTAATAATAGGTCTATTGAAAGAAATATGAAGTAAGAAACAAATGATTACCTATCAGCATGTAGAGAATGGCTTAATAATAGTAAGGTCTATTAA